CTCTACCCTCAGCGCACGGTCGAATGCTGTACTTTGGCCCCAATAACGTTTCGCCTCCGCCTTACTCTGTTCTCATTTCGAAGCATGGATCGCAGAGCGTGGAAGCACTATTGTCATCGCCCACTTCAGACTACGTACAATTCTAATCCTATGTCGCCCAGACAGGCTTGAACCGTGATGTGAAGCCTTTAAAGTCCCACCGGCAAGCACGGTCCGTTGACTTTCGTGGAGCGGGATCGTGGTACGGTAGTTGCTCGGAAACCGCGCTTCACGGCATCGCGAGAGTGAGGCTCGCTCCGCACACTTTCGTTGCTGACTGTCCACAGGTCACGGCCACCATGCTACGATGAGGCTCAGGATTCAGAAAGAGACAAGACATCAGCCGAGCACCTTCGGCCCTCGCCGCTGTCCTCATAGTTTGACATCCGAAGTGCTCATCGTCTCGCTGCAAGTGTCTCACGCTAGAGCTATGTGGCCTGACCACGCCAAGTGCGTGGCAAAGCCTTCGGTGAAAGGCACGCGTGAGACATCATACGTGTACGAGGAGAGTAGCCGTGAAAGCGCTGGCGAATCTTTCGCTCAGAGAATGCTTATACGCATGGCTTGTGTCGCAGATGTTCACAGTGGAGATGATGGTATTCATGATGTACGTATATGCGGGTTTGACTACGTACATGTGGAAGGGCGGCGCGCGCGACATTTGCTCAAGACGATCCGTACAAAAGGGTGGTGAGAAGGAAGATACCCATACTCCGGGAAAGAATGCAATGCGTGCAAGAGTTTGCTTCAAAGCTGCCAGCGAATGGTTTCTTGCTTGGCATGCCCCAACAAGTCAGGGAGCGGTCCTTGATGAAGGTCGGTCAGGGTGTCTGAGCCTGTCAGCCTATGTCAGGTCGAAGCGCTAGTCACCGCCGTGACGGCCTCGCCAGCTGGAGGTGATACACCAGCATCAGCCTGTGCGCGAGTAGTGGACTGCGAGGAGACTCCGCCACCGAAAGGGTTGGGCAGAGAAGTAGAGGAGGGCCCGGAGACGACTGGACGACGACGTGCAGAACCTTCAGAAGGCAGATAATGCAGGTGGACACCTGAGCTTCCCTGCTTCAAGCCGCAACCGCTGAGGTACGTCACCTTGCCAGGTACGATAAGGCCGCTGCTGTGGCGTAGCCAGGCCGAAGGAGGGCGCGTGGTGAGCGTGACGGGCAAGTGAACGTGTAGCTCCGGCAAGAACATTTTTAAGCCCGGAGGGAAGCACGAGGGGTCCGGAAGCTGCACCATGATGTGTGGCAATTCGACCATCGATCCAGCAGCCGACGAGATTGCGGACGCTGGTAGGTCGAAGTGCGTCGTTGTCTGCTGAGCGTTGACTTCCGTAAGCAAGGTGACTGAGGAGGCTGGCAGGTGGAGCGTGACCGTACCAGGCGTGTGCGAATGAGACTGAGTAGCGGGCGAAGAAGAGCCTGCGGGTGGTCCTTGAGCTTTGCGCTTGTTGCCAGCCGGAACGAAGAAGGCGCTGGAGGTATTGACCGGCCTGGGCCAGAGAAAGTCGAGCATATTCGGGCTTGAGTCGCCGCGAATTGATGCCTCCTGACGAGCAAGGTGAGCCACGAAGCTGTTCTCAATGCCAATGGTGCCATTCAAGGCATCTTCCTGAGCGATCTCAGCCGGGCGCATGAAAAGAGGGCGTTCATACAGGCGCGGCTGAGGTTGCGTCCAGTGCCATACGGAAGGACTGAGCCAGCTGTGAGCGAGCCGAGTTGTTTCCAAGCTCGAGCGTTCTCGAAGCTCGAGACGCAGTTGTTGAATCTGGATGTATCTGGCAAAAGCCAGGTTACTCTCCGCATCGAATTTGTGTATCATCTTGCGCATCTCGTTTGCGAGCTCATCGTAGAGCAGCTTCCACGCCTCCTCAGACACGTGCGTCTGAGCCGGGTTTGTTGCCCTGCTGTGAATCTCCATAATCTTGGTGAGTTGCTTTGCGCACGTGAGCTTGCGCGACAGGGCGTCGTCCGAGATGGCAACCGTAGCACGCATGACTGCTAGAGCAAAGTTCACTTCTTCTGCGGAAGGCTCCCCATCTGGCGCGTTTGGCAGCTCGTCGGCAGCGATAGCTAGGCGTTCGTACAGGCTCATGGACTCGCCAGCATTGACCATATTGATGGATGGCGCGGAGAAGATCAATTTTGCCGCTGCGGCAATCGCAACGAACAGCTTCATCTTGATAGTTGAGGGGTGTGAAGTGCTCGACTTGTCCGCCTTGCGGGACTGACTGGGCTGACCGGACTCCTATGCCCGTACTGGGTTGATTGTGAGGACAAAAAGCGAGTGCGAGGGCATTTCAAGACGTAGATCAGTGGCCATATCAACGGGGTCGGCAAGTCTACCCGAAGCAGCGCACAATGCTCACCTAAAGATCGACTTCGAAGTGTTTGCGCCCTGGAAATGAGTCAATGAGTATGCTTACTGTGTCTCGCGGGGTGGGAGAACTAAACAGGAGGCCCAACGTCGTCTCTGAGCAGTCGCAGTCAAGAGTAGACGTGCGCTCGCATGAGCACGCGCGGACATGGATGCGCACGCGCACCCATGCTTGCACACAGCACGCATCCACGCGTGGGTGCGATTCGTCAGTGGTGAGGCACGAGTCTATGGGTGGAATTATGACTCGTGACCTCTTACGGCTATCTGTGCCGAGCGACCAGTTCAGCGTCCTTTCCTCGCTTTCGATCCCTTTCAGCGTACGAACGAGAGGCACAGCGACGAACAATGTCTGTATGGCCATTCGCATTCTGTTTCACGATTCCAGCACAGCTCAAGCAAATGTTCAATGCCGCGTACTTTCACTGAAGGGCTCAGTTGTCCCGGTGTGTCAATTCAGATTCGCGATGAGATGTAATGGGTTTGCGAATGCGTCGGATCAGAGTTTAGAGAGGCACGGGGGGAGCCGCGGGGAGGCGCGGGGTTCCTGCGGGACAGGGTCAGTGCAATTAGAAGATGAGGTCCAGTGATGGGACGAGAAGCGAAGCGGGTAGAGCGAGACGAACGAGGCGCCGAGAAGACAGTTCGAGAGTCGAGAGGCGGAGATCAGGTGTGAAGCGGCAAGTGGAGTGTCGGAAACCGAGGTGCTATTCTTACGCTCACTTGAAGCCCTCAAGAGGTCTTCTTGCTGGCGTCTTTGAGGACGCGGCTTCTGGAACCCGATCCTTCGCCTTCGCAGGCACGGATATTTTCGAGGGCGCGGTCTACCTCATCCAGATTGAATCCTTCAGCTCTTTCGCAAGGTAGCTGCTTGGCAGCACGGACATCGCCTTTGAACGGTTCTTTGAACAGTTTGCTTGCTTTGGCTTCCGCGCTGAGCACCTCAATGTTCTCCCAAAACCCTGGGGGCGTGGGAGGGAAGTAGAGAGGAGACTTGATGCCTCCGTCACTGCAGACTGATCCAAGCTCTGCTGCTTCCTCCTGGTGGGGCCTTTCAGAAAGCTCCGACTGAGCGTCGGCATTGTCTTCTCGATCGGCCGTTGCCGGTGCCATGTCGGTGTCAATAATGACGCGGCTCGCCCCAACCATGGTTTCCTCAATCTGCAATTTGATGCCATCTAGCTCGTGTTGCGCGGATTGGCATTTGCCGACGAGATCTCCCAGAGTATGTCTAAGGGACTGCTCAACCTCAGGCAAACGCCTCTGAACCTCTTCGTTCAACACTCGTTGCGCCTCCACTGGCAGGTGCTCTTCAATCCTTGCGAGACCCACCATGAGCTCGTGGTCCATGCGCCTCTGTGCTTCGTTTTGCGCTGTAGTGTTTCGTAGCGCCTGCGCAGCCGACGATGATTCGAATTGCTTTTCCAAGCGCGCTTTGTTCTGTGCGCGACCGGTTTCTTATTCTCCTCCAAGCTTGCGCTTCAGCTCTGCGCGACCGGTCTCAGCTTCTTCTTCAAGCTTGCGCTTCAGCCCTGCGCGACCGACTTCCAACTCGTAGTGGAGTGTTTGCTGAGCCTCTGTGCGTGCTTGTGCTTGAGCCTCGCCCAGCAGGTTTTGGTAGGCCTTGTGGGCACCTCTGTGATGCTTCTCTGTCAGTGGAAGGGAGGTCGAGCTGCCTGGCTCTTGACTGCCGTCATTTGCCCTTCCCTTCTTGCGACTCTTGCGTGCCATCTTTGAGTGCGCGACTGAATTGAGCTGCTGAAGTACGAGCGGTCGGGCACGGAGCTGCTGACAGACTACTCGTTGAATGCGAGTCCAAGGCGTGTGATGTGATCGGTAGATCTCGAGGTAAGCTGAGGATGTGTTGAAAAAGGAAGAGCGAGCTGAGAATGTGTTGGAAAGGAACGAGCGAGCTGATGATGATGTCGATAGTCGCGGATCATGGTGTCCAAAGCGCGGGCGTGGGCTAGCGGAGATGCGCTACCAGACCTTGCACGCGGCGCACGCCTATCCACACCCAACCAGAGCGTTGGTCATGCGAGGCGAGGCCCCAGTAGAACAGCAGCAGTCAGCATGGTGATCGGTTCCGAGTGTTGAGTGGCTGAGTCCCAGTCGTGAGAAGCACCCGTTAGCGTCGAGTCCGTTGAGATGTGCATGGTCATGCACGATGCCTGCCGCTGGTGGTGGCACGCCTGCGCGGCAGTAGTCGGAGACAGGGCACGAAACAGAGGCGTGTGTGAGGCTTCTGAGCCGAGCTGACAACACACGACAAGAATTGGCGTGAGCGTCGAGTGAGCACGCTTTCCATCACATCTTGGGTCATTTGGATCGGAGTCAGAAGCGTCGAGGATCGTAATTGAATCAAGAATAGTCTTGAATCAAGGATCACGTGAAATGGCTGCCGCAAGGCTCTCTGACGCGAAACAATCTGAGTCTTGAGTTCTTCATCTTGCATGCAAGTGGTGACCGTATGTTTTTGCACTCAAGACTTCTGATGAAATCAGGAATCAATGAAAGAATAATACGTGATTCGGCGATCCGATCGATTGTCATTCAACGTCCCGATCAGATGGCAGGATCCAAGTCAGAAATGATGAATGAGCCAATATTCTACGCTTCAATTCACTTACGATCCAGGAATTGAACTCACATTCAGGATTATAGAACTGACCAAAGCTGGTCTTATCGTACGCTCGACTCAAGACTAGGCACAGGTCATTCAATTGGTTATTCACGATTGAATCTTAAGAATTCAAAATTGCCTGAGGCGCTTCACGTGACTCGCGTGCGCAGCGCCCGCGCCGCGTCATATTTGATTCACGTGATTATGGACACCTTGTGTCTCGGCTACGTCTGACCATCGGCGGTCCTCCTCGTCATCAATGAACCGTCAATGCGAATATGAATAGATCACTGACCATCATCT